AAAATAATTTCATTCTTAGCTCACTATACAGCCCTGTATTTCACAGAAAGTTCTATTTTCAAGGGGAAGCTTCACCAGAGTTAGATCAGTGTGAACTTATATTTTTAATTCTGGCTCTGGTGAAAGGGTTAAAAAAGAACTCCCATACATGTATTAACAAATGCATGCATCAAACTTCAGGAATGCACAATGTGCAGACAAGCCTCCTGGTGGCCACCCATTAGGCAGCCTAGACCAAACGCTGAGAAAGAATCTCTTTCTTGTACAGCACAATTAATAAAGAGAGAGGACGCTGATGAGGGAAGGGGGCGATTGGAAGACTAAAGGAAACATGAAGAATGGCATTTGGAATTGGATCCAAACAAATACTTTCTGGGAAGGAAAAATGTAAAGAAAATGGAAGTGCAGCAAAAACAGTACAGTGGAAATCTTGACAACTCCCCATGCACTATTTTAAGCACAAAATTTTCTTGTAAAAAACCAAGGCAACAAAATAACCTTCGATCCAACAAGCTGGCAACCAAGGAAGCCTTTTAGAGAAGTCATACCTGAACACGATGGTTAACATTGTTTTAACCAAGAAACAGATCAATATTTAATTTAACCACAGACCGGCTCTACTTTGGTAATTACATAACATTTTGACTTATTCATGGCAGGTGCGTGAAGTCACAGTGCCCTGTCAGAACATACAGTGCTCCAGTCCTCAAAGCAACCATGGTTGGGTGTGGTGGTGTACTTTGCACTCTTATTTCTGAAACGAGAAACTCTACATTAAGGTGTGGAAAAGCAATCCTACTCAAGGCACAAAGCCTTTAAGAAATGCTAGAAAGACAGGTTTAAGCTCAGAGTTCATCAGTTTAACTCATTGCCGACAAGCAACATACTCTTCAGGCAGGAAGTTGTTCTATGGAACTCCTGACGCAATACAAACCAAAGCAGTTACAGTGAAGTTTAATACAAACCCTCTAGAGTCCACGTTGACAAATTCTTTAACAGGCCCTGTGGTTACAGGGAAGCTGGTTTCACTCTGAGTCACTCCTGTTCAAACAGTTTACTGGAAATGGAGGGGAGGGGGAATTTTCAGAGAAGTCATGTGATGGCCAGACAAACCACAACCAGTAAAGGTTCAGTGGAGTCAAAAACAGGTCCCAGCAACGGCTGATGCTCAGTGCACAGATGGCACTCAATCATTTACAATGAGTCCTGTTTTATCTCAGGGTTTATATGGTATTAACCCTTTTTCAAGTTTGTATTCTTTAAAGGAAGCCAGAACATAATTTGGAAAGTAAACAAACAGCAAGTAACCGATAGTAACACAGGCAACTAGCAAATATTTTTTTTACAAGGAAACTTGGCTCCCACAGCAGTGCACAGAAGCAAAGCCCAAGCACTCAAAGTGTAAATCATTAGTCCTTAAAGAATAAGCCACTTAAATATGAATCCAAAACACAGAAAGTCACTAACACTCAGATGTACAAAGAAGATTTAGTTAGTTATCAGGGCCCCTTTAGTTACATTCTCCTCTTAGTAGAGAGCAGCATGATACAGCAAGGGCCCACGCATTCGGTACTTTCATAGAGTTGTATTAAGTTGAATTAAGCTTTGTTTTCACCACAAACTTCATCAGCTTTTAAGCTGTTCAGTATGATACAGAAAGAGATTTAGACGTCAGAAAATACTCTACAATCAGTAACTATCATACTGGCAGAAACAGAGACAAAAAGCTTATATAGGAAACAGCACAGTTACATTTGCACTGTGTTATTGCCCATGCGCTGCTCCAGCACTGAGTAGTAGATTCAACTTCCCCTAATTGAGAGGTTGGTTTGAAAGGTTTCACCAATGATATTCCTCATATTTAGAGTGGGGAGCTCTGATAGAAAATTTCAGGACACTGGCACTTAACTGGACAGAACCGAAGTGACAGCCATTGGAAAAATCACTATTAAAATTCTATAAAAAATAAAATTCATAATATATAGAGGAAATATTTCCCATATCACAGGCCAAGTTAGTTTAGTGTAGTGATACAGCCAACCGTGCTTTGCATTTACTGTAGTGTTTGTGAAAAAGCAATCCTGACTAGGCAAGGCAGAATTACAGTACTGCCAGCAGGACAACCAAGCAGAATGAAAGGTGATATATGAAGCAATAGAAGATGTGAAGCTCTCTTTAGTTAACTTACAGTAACTGTAACTGACTAACAAAAAAAGAAGAAGTGGTGTTCCATTAAGATATGGGGCTTTTTCTAAATATATTAATGGAAAAATACAAAAACAGAAAGTTACACATCAGCCAGCTCATGGTTTCTCTCAAAAAGTGACTCCAGAAGCCAGGTCACTTGGATTGACAGTTTATGAAAGAAAACCTGCTCAGATACGTTCTTTAACTTTAGGGAGACAATATTCTTCCCCTATGCAAATTTTAACAGAATGATTGGTCTAACCCATCATACTGTATAACCCATTTTAAATCATTTTATTTCTCTTTAGTCCTTTTAAAAAATCCAGAGAACATTTTTCTCTTCTGTCAATCACACAGACTGGATATTACTTGACAGAATGCCACAAGTATCCTCATCTGTTTTGCAAAAACGATAGTATTTCTCAGAAATAATATTGACAAATTTTCTTAATTAAAAAAACATACAAAACATGCAAAATGCTAAGCAGTTTGGCTCTGCTTTGTAGGCAGCTATAACAGCTCATTAGAACTAAAGGAGGAAGCTACTTTGAAATACTAACACACCTATTTTCACACCTCCCAAATGAATGGGGAGGAGAGAGGCCTTTATATTGAAAGGATTCCTTTCACTGTTAAATGGCGTCAAACATTTGTAGTTTTCCACTGGCATCAGATTGCCAAATTCTCTATACTATTGGGCACTGAGGATCAGAAACTGATAGTGAGGCAAGCTGATTTAGGTAACAGAAACTTTGCTATTCACAATTATAGGGAAACTTTAAACTGCACACACAGTAGTGATTATGCAGTGCAAACAGCGACAAAGCTTCACTTTTGCGAATGATGCCAGGATTTGCTCAATGCCATAGGAAGAGACATTCATGCGTGCCTCTCACAGACATCTAGCAAAAACACAACAGAAAGCCAAAAGCACAAAGGAAGTCATATTAGCGTGTGGAAAATACCGTCCAATATTAAATACTGAACTATTTGTTTTGTAACGGTACTACAATTTAATCAGATTGTCATAGCCTCACGCTGGAGTCTCTTATAGGAATCAAACTGCAAGTAAAGTTTTAAGAAATTTCATCTGGTCATCCATCCTCAAAACAATGTGCTTCAATCCAAACTCAATTGCTGAGAAAATGAAATCAAAGCGCTGATAAATACAATGTTATTTTTTCCTTAACAAACGACACCATTTCATTTGTTCACCAATCACACAATCATTGTAGTTAAGGGTATTTTTGGTCTATCTTGACAAGATTCCTCACTAGCAAAGGTTTTATATCCAAGAATCCTACCATGCATTTTAGAAACCAATCTTGGCTGCACCTAGAACTTTAAAAATCTCACGTAACTTACTGGGAGAGTCACCGTAAATAAATATGGATAGTAGTTCAATTCTGAGTCATGTATTTGATTGGTTTTGTGGTTTGCTGGGATTTTTTAAAATATGTATATGGATCAAGGATTGGTTTGTAAAATAAATATCTGGCAATGGAGCAAAAGTCAAAGTAGGTGAATTTTTGGTCGTATGCCTTTAAAAAGATGGATCTCTTAATTTACTATTATTATTTATCTAGTGCCAATGTGTTAGGCATTTTCCTGAATAGGTATTAAGATGAGCTTCTTGTCCTGAAGTGCTGGCAAGCTAGACAGCATTAAATACTATGATTAACATTATTAGACTAGAATGAATGTTTGCAGACAAGTCCAAGGAAACCTAAGGCTGTTTTTGGAAGAATATTTTCAGAGATTCTTGGGTTTATCCAAATGCTCTCTCTCTGTGGATTATTTTTTCCTGCATGTAATAACTTCTCAAAAGAGAGGGTAAAAAACATTTATACTTCTTAAAAGTCAAGACTCAGTAGTTTCTTTGCTACAGTGAAGGGCTGGTCAAAGAGAAAACAATGTAAACTCTTTTGCTGTGCATAGTAGATAGATTTTTATATGAAGGAATCAAGCTGATGCTATCGTGACCCACTTCCACCTAGTGGTTTAGTAGACAAACAAACAGGAATAAAAAGGAAGCAGAATACAGAGTAGGAATTCAGCAGCAAGACATTTCTGAAAATTCCGCCCGCCCTTTCCCCCCAGAATTGTACATTTAGAAACTAAATAATTTCTGAACCAAGGCGCACACAGACCTGAACAGAAAGCTATTAACAGTCATGTACTCGATTAAGATCTAATATGGGGCAACCAAGTTGTATTATATCTATCAATAAAATTGAATTGAAAAAGGCTAAGAATAAAAAGATTCAAAGCAGCTTGGTTGCTTTTCAACATCAGGAAGAATACGTTTCCTCAGGTTGTTAAATTGGCCAAGACATTGGCAGCACAAACAGCTAGTGGCAAGGCAGGTGAGTATTATCTAGTGAAAATAAGTTGGCTGGAGATTATCTCCTCGTTAAGAGAGTTTTAAGAAACAGTTTGGCAGTTCAGCTATTTAATAATCACAGTTAGTTTAATGACTCCTACATCATTTATTAGTGGGCCTCATCTTCCCTCTAATACTTCTTTTGCCATATTTGTAGAACTTTTTTGTATTTGTAAAAGTTATTGTTTGCCTTAATTTTTTTGTCTACATTAACATATCCCTGCCTTAACAGACTATAAATAATTGTTTGGTTTTCTCTACATCTCTGTATCCAGTGCAGGTTCTTTTCTAACCTATGAGCAGTCCCTCACAAAGTCACATTGGCTGCTTTCTTGCATGTTTGTTTCAGTGGAACTGTTGTCTGCTGCATCTTAATCTTGCTGTGTTTTGTGATAATTAAACGCATTCTAATATTTGGCAGTGTTCTTACTTGTGCAGCCTCTGCGTGTTCAAGCATCTCCTCAAATTCCTGATACTCTTCATCATCAGGTTCAGCACCAGAGAGTCGGGCTGCTCTGGCCATGAAATAAGGAGGCAGCTCTCCAATAGCTGTGCCAGCACCCTGGGAAGAGAATAATTATTTTAATTTTATTTTTCTTGATTAGAGCTCTTTAAAAAAAGCTCAACTGATGTTCATAATTTTCCTTGGAAAGTTTAAAAAAAATACTCATAAGAAGAGTCACAAATACATATAAGGTTTATCCCACCAGAACTGTTTCCAATGGAGGCTAATTATTTTTACCAGCTACACAAAGTTCTCCCAGCTTCAAATGTTATCCAAGTTACCCTAAGAAACGATATTTTCCCCCTCTCTTAGTTTAGCCACATGCATTTTCCCCCCAACCCAAACTATAAGTCTGTAGAGTTGTAATACAGTTGAATTGTCTGTCCTGAGACTTGGCACACTTGTTTATTGGAAAACATTGCCTCAAGTTCTACTACAGTTTGAGCAAATGAAAATATGTTGAGCAGGCTGTAACTTATCTAGTATTTTATCTGTCCACAAAATGGGGTCAAGAAAGCCAAGAGAAATAAGAATCAGAGTAGGGTTGCCTTTTCACTGCAGGAAAATGATTGGTTTTCTTGGGACATCAAATGACTCATTTCAGCCTTGTGGGTAGATACAGCTTTAGTTTTTGTTTTTTGTTGTTTTTTTTTTAAATCAGTATTAGACATACGGATAAACAGAGGTTAATGAAACAGGAACTTGGATTAAATGCAAATGGTTTAAATATAGGATACGTAATAGCACAATAGGTGGGCGCTTTGTTGGAAAAGTGCTAACCCTTAGCCACACGCAGATGTTCCTTCTTACTAAGAACCATTAGCAAATGACAAATGCTTTTATATTCCTTTAAAGCAGCATAAAGCCCTTCAGTTTCCTTTGTTCATATTCTGTATGCAGCTGTATGTAAGGGAGAATCCCAGCTGCTTTGTATATTCTAAATCAACAGGTTGATTTTAAACACTATAAAAATACATCAGTTATACTATTACCCAAACTCCCTGTTTGTGTACTGTATAAATACACCCCCCTGATATGTTTGTCTTCCTATTGTCCACATGTGTAACAAATCTGCATGAATACACCACCACCAAAACATCATTAGCCTGTCTATTTCTGATACATGGAAAGTTAAGCTTGGAAACAGTTATAGCTATTTTTCAGAAAAAATAATTTGGGATTATGTTCTCAAGGTGATGCAAGAACAGAAGTAATGTTTGCTTCACAACAATGTGCCAATTTGCTTGGCTTCATTTTATTCATGAAGGGAAAGGTTCCCATGTGTGTACTAGAAGTGAACTTTCCTTAAATTGGTTAAATCACAAGGTCTTTGTTACAAAACATCTCGAAAGTACAACGAGATCATATGATTCCATGTCTACTCAAGACAGATTGCCTTAATATGTAAAAAAGGAAGCATTTAAGTGATCCAAACCAACAACTATATACTATCTTTTGCAAACATGGCTGTTTACTCTTACTGTTAAAATTTCCATCTGATATTTGCTTAGAGTTTCCCTACATCAACAAGGAATTAGAAAGGCAAGTGCTAATCAACATTCTTTTGCACAAATGCATACAGTTAAAATGGGAAACTACTCATCTAGAAAGCTTCTTTTAAACTTTATCTTGGTCAAGACACAGACTGCCTGTTCCGCCAATCCGGAGAGATTATACATTTTTACCTTTTCAGGTAATTTCTAATAAAAACACAAAAGAGCTGCAACACATTTAGGGTGCTATTCAATTCATAGCTTCTGTGGGGTGGAAGGCTCTGAAAACTGGCCTACCCCCAGCAGGCTGAAAGCCCTTTAAAAACACCTTCTGCAAGCCAGGACTGTTGAGGCCCGTTTTATACTGACTGTCACCTTTTGATCAAGGAGAAAGGGCCAGGATCCACTTTGGAGCCACTCCACATGGTTACACACTAATTGTCTAACAGCAATTAGTGTTTAGTAATGTTGCTTCACTCCCTTACTGGGCACCAGGATGCTGTCAGCAACACTTCCAGTCCCTGCTCACCCAATGAGCCAGGGAACCGGAGAATTAGACAATGCAAAAGGCTCCCTCTAATACCCCTTTGTGTCTGAATTTTAAACAGCTGTATTGACAGTTTCAGATTGTAGAGATTACTAGAAATTGATAGTTCATAACTTTTTAGTTTTCATGAGTTAGTTTCCCATAATCAGACACTAATAAAAAATTTAACCTACTGTTCTTGGTTTCAGTTTGCAAGGAGAAAAATTAATATTGCTATTTATGTGTCACATTTTGAGTTACTAAAACTGTTGGTCCATTTACTTCCTTTTCAGGAATTTAGTATTGTGTTCCACATAAAAGGATTTTGGATTTAACAGTGATAGGACCAAGAATTCTTCAGTGGTTTCTATAAAAGCAAACTTGGAGTAAAGACAAAAGAAAAACAATGGTAGCAGCAGCGCAGCTGCCAATTTGATTTGACCTACAGAAAGTTAACAAGAAATGTTTAGGTTTCAGAGTAGCAGCCGTGTTAGTTTGTATTCGCAAAAAGAAAAGGAGGACTTGTGGCACCTTAGAGTATAACAAATTTATTTGAGCATAAGCTTTCATGAGCTACAGCTCACTTCATTGGATGTATCCGATGAAGTGAGCTGTAGCTCATGAAAGCTTATGCTCAAATAAATTTGCTAGTCTCTAAGGTGCCACAAGTACGCCTTTTCTTCTTAAGAAATGTTTAGGTACTCATGAAAGAGTCCAAGAAAGCATAACATTATAGTAGACACCAATGGCAAATTGAAGATGCGCCCATGGGGAAATCTACCACAGCCAAAGTTCAATAAAAAAGGTAGCTGACAATATATTTGGAGGAGGGTAGGAAGAAAGAGGAGATTACACAAAACATTTTGGCTTGCTCAGATAGTCTTGAAATTCCCCTGGTCTGAACCAGCAAGCAGCACAAAGAAAGGCCTTAGAAGGTACCTCTTGTTCTCTCTCTCCTCTCAAGGTAGGGTACAATCAGTTACAAGGCATGCAACTGTGTGTTCATTTCGGTCTAAGCTACTTAATTTTCAGTTTAGGTCAGTAATTTTATACATTAACAAAGATGTGCAGCAAGCACATTCATCCTGAGCTACATTTTCCTTGCAACCCTAGAACTTAATTTTAAATGATATTCTTATTGCTCCAACTTCATGAAGACTATGATGTGGAGCAGTAGGAAGAAAGAAAGAATGAAAGAGATCCCGAACTTACTGTCTTATAGACGTTTGTTTGTGGGAGATTTTCAGTTAACTCTACTTATTTTTCAAATATGGAAATATTTATGCAATTTTGGTCTCTAGTTAGCAAAAGGAAACATTAAAAACGTATATTGTGTTCGTTTTTGAGAGGGCTGGGGGTTTGCACTTCTATCCTTGAAGATTTTTTTTTGTAAGTATTTGTACACTGTACTTATAAACCTGTAATGTGTATGATCTACATTTAACTTCTGTGTTGGAGATAGGGTCACTGACAAGTTTTAAAACTGTAATAAAGTCTATTATGGGTTATTTTCAAACCTTTAAGGCTTCCAGAAACAAGTTAGAAAAGATATACTATAATGATCCCATTCCATCCCCAACATCTGAATTGGAGAACCAAGTATTTAATAATTAAACCAATGGTCAGAACAGGAAGTCATCAGTGGTAACCTTTTGGCATAAAAGCAGTTCAAAACAGATATGTTTGTGTAAGTTTCAGTTCAAAATAGTTTACATTTTATGGGAAAAAGACATCTTAGCTGACCAATATTCTTCAATAAACAAATTTTAAAAAGCCAAAGAAGTGAACACTAAACTAAAATTAGAGTGCATTTCCAAGGACAAGCACCCACATCCACCTCACTAAATACCTGCCCTAAGAGTGTGCTTCAGTGTTTAGCAGATAGCTTTTTTTTTTTTTTCCTTTTTTTGCTTTATAAGTGAATGTTTTCATCAGGAAAACATGGATTTTTAATTTCAACGCGTAGCATGTGAACAGGCTACATGCAACGCAACAGAAAACTGATGCAGCCCCAAGATCAGGGCATCTGCTACAACATTAGGACCTGATCCTTTCAACACATATGAATAACTTCATTCGCTTGAATATGCCCATGGACTTCGAAGGGAGTATTCATGAGAGTGAAGTCACTCACTTGCCTCACTGCTTGCAGGATTCAGTCCTTAATCTGCAAGCGCAGCTGGGGCAAAGAATCTCCTTTCAAAAACTTGTTTTTTGCACTTAGTTGCTCGTAAATGTCATGCATTTTCTGCTAAAGTGCCTAGAAAAAACAGTTACGCTTTGGAAACAGAGGTGATTTTTATAGGACTCTATAGAAGAAATTCCTATAACAAAGTAGAAGATTTCTTTTCCCCAACCTTACTCCAATCCTGGAGCTGATAAAAATTGACCCAACCATTTTCAACTGCTTCTGTTTAATACATTTTGAAGATGTTCAGATCTAATACAGACATCTAAAGTGAATCAGCAAATCATGCCTCCAACATGAAGAGTTATATGTTACTGCTGTCAGCAAAAGCCAGCATTGCTTTGTTTATTTTAGGTAAAATTGTGTAAGTTAAACCTTACCCACATGCAGGCCTCTAGCCTGACTTTTGAGATTATGGTCCATAAAGAGATGGATCCTTCAATCCCCTCCTCATCAGGACAGATAATTTGATCAGGGTACGGTGGTTCAGGAAAATTAACTGAGTTACATTCATACGCAGCAAGTGTAACTGATGCTATGTGTGGACCCTGAAAAATATATCAGACAAGAACTTTTCAATACATTTTGTGTGCATTAAACAAGAGTTAGCTTTACCTTAAATAATATGGCTAATAGGAAACCTATCAGGACACAAAATGCATCCAGGAAATGTACTTCCACACTTGACATTAGATATAGTCTATAATGTTATATACAATGGTCTCAGCCTTCCGATGCATGTAAGTAAATAAACATCCAACTCCAAACATAAGAAAATCTAAAGTGCTCCTGTTTCAGTTTTAAGGGACTATGAAGTTAAAATACGTTTCCTTGCCTGTATTAGTAGTAACATTGTAGACTTAAAACTTGAAGAACTTTAAAAAAAAAACAAAGTATACTTTTAACCAATGGTTTTTCCCCATATTATTCCACACAAGCAATTAATAAAGAAGCTGAATAGTCTTTCAGTTTCTCATGCATTGGCACAGACCAGCAATGTTTGAGATGCAAATACTGCAAAGGAATCTTTACATCCTAACAACAACAAAATGCAATTATTTCAAATATTTTTTAAAAAGATCCCATAAAAGTATTTCTATTGATTTCAGTTTTGCAAAAACAGGTTTTACAAAACCTAGGTTTTGAGCCTAGTTGGACCTGACAGTATTTTGAAGTGTTCCTCCCCTTCTCTCCACTCTTTTCTTAAAACATCAGTTAGTATGTCAGCAATCTCTTGTGCAAATCACAGTCTTTCTGCTTCAGTTTCCAATGTATAAGGTGCTCAGAAAATTGTTTGTAAAGCGCTTTAAAGCTCAACTTTTGTGCAAGTGCCATTATTAATGGAATTAAGTTGACTCACGGACTCTGCCTTCTATTAAAGGTTACCAACGCATTTTATTGAGGCCAGATCTCAGGTACAGATGGCTTCAAATGTGTACAAGAACCAAAATGCAATACAGTTAAATAATGGAACAAACTGCCATTGTAGGACTATAAAATAGTAAAATTACTATAAATCTGTGCAAATAGTTCAGATTTATCCTTATGCTGGACATCAAGAGTTTCAAACACAAAGAATCGGCTTAAAAATCACCTTCCAACATCTGTGTTTCAGCAACATGCTCAAACTGTATAAACTGTTTAGAAATTTTTATTAAAACAGAGTTTTTGCAAACTTAATTTCACCCACAGTCTTAGCCTTAGCAGAATAAATTAATAATCAATTGTGTTTACATACACTGCAAGTATTGCTCAGTCTTTAGCTTCTGCTATTAATTACATGGTGGGTTTTTGTCATCATTTTGGGAGATATTCTGTCAACAATTTTCCTCTGTGTTTTTTTCTTGAGTGACTTTCAGTCTATTAGATCAGCAGGGAATCACAGTACAAAAAGCAAATCGAAATTATATTTATTATACAGCGAATAAATCTGTGAATGTAATGATAATGGGAGGAGAGGGCACTTGATGCACGACACCTATTGCTTGGACAGCTCTATTTCCCTTTATACGATATTTTAAAAAATTATTTTAATACAGAGACCAGGGACTATTTGGGAGAGTTTATGGGCTTGTTGCAGGAAATACTGGGTGAAATTTTATGGGCTGTGTTAGGCCCACAGAAGTCAGAGTAGAAAATCACTCTGTCCTTAAAAATCTATGAGAATGAACAGCTTACTGGAGTTCTTATCTAGGCATTGGGAGGTGGTTTTTCATTGGGTTCACTCTTGTCAATGTTAGCAGTTTCTCTGAACTGACAGAACAACAGAATTACAAAATTTAGTATATGTAGCAAGTTATTTTAGGTATACAAAATAGTGGAAAAGTCCTACTGAGAAAATACCCAGTCTATTTTAATTTTCACGTGGTAACTTTGGCTATCAGTTATAGGCTATTCAATTCTAGACCACTGAAACAAGTAAGAAAATTTCCACTTTGCAGTCAAGCCAATTCTTTTACCTGTACCTCTCTCCTTGTTCTTTTGTTGGGAGACTGATCTAATGCTCAATAGGCACTAACTTGAACTATTTTCTGTAATTATTTAAATAAAGTTATAGTTCTGATCTCATGGTAAATTAGGAGCAATTCCGTCAAAGGAACTGCACTGAAGTAAAGACAATATGAGAGCAGATTCAGACCTGTTAAATACCAAATAATTGTTCTGATTCTGTAGGGCAAAGACACTGCAGACGGGTGAAAAATTACTAATTATCTGTACTGCAGTACTGTCTAGAGGCTGGATCCTGTATGTATCCATAGTAAGAGGCAGTCCCTGCCCCCAAGAGTTTACAATCTAAACAGACAAGACAGACAAAGGGCACGACCAAGAAAGTATCCCCTTTTTATACATGGAGAACCAACACCAGAAAAGATTAAGTGACTTGTCCAAGGTCAAACAGCAAGTCAGTTGCAGAGCTGGGAACTGAAACCAGATCCTAAAGATCATCCCTTCCTTGATAGGCCCTAAAATTTCAAGGAAACTTGATTTTTTCCCCTCCTATACCCAGATAGCTTCATGCAGTAAAAGATCTTTTAAGGCCTTGTGCCTCAAGCTGTAAACTATTCAAATCTGCAACATAATTCTCCTCAGCTGAAAATTTGCATGGAGGAAAACCCCAAAGTCAAGTGCCATTGCTCATGGTCTCTTGAGGGTAAGGGCAAGTTCATTGCCAAGGTTGTCAGAGACATGGGGTGTGAATCAAGAAGTACGATTTTCAGTTCCACAAAATTTGGAAGACATACCACAGTATAATGTAACTGTGGCCAGCTGTGATGAAAGACTGCAAGTGCAGAACCGGTTAGTTTCAATCTTATAGCAGCATAAGAAAAACAGTACAATTGCCAGCACAGTAATGCCCTCTGCTTTACTTCAATAAGTGAAATTACCACTATCTTGAAGGCCAAGATTTTGAAATGAAGGCTTGCGGACAATTTACGATAGGTCCCTGCCTGGAGAAGCTTACATTTTAACTTTGAGCACAGCAAGTGAAGACAAAGAAAATGTAATAGGGGGGTCTGCTAAGGATAATTGTTATAAAAGGAAACCACACACACACACATAACCCCTATTCACTGTTTAACAACTTGCCACAATTAATAGCCTAGGTTCCCTCAGATCTAATAATAAGTGTTGCCATCTCTTGAATGCCTTAATTGTCTCAAATACGCATCTTCCCATTAACCCAGCTCTAACTGTTTCAACAACTGAAGTCTGCAAAAGGAAAAATCCTAAAGCAAGAAGCAGTCAATGGAAAAATACATTTCAGAATAGAGCTGAAAACATCCCTCCAGCCACCTGACGACTAAATCAATTTAGCACAACTCTTCTACTGAAATGCAAACAATTCTAGAATGGAAAAAAGTTGAAATTATGGATCCCACAGAAACCACATTTTAACTGGAATAAGAAATAAAATGTAAAAGATTCATTTAGAATGATCATCAAGTGTGGAGTACTCAAATTCAGAACTAGCCATGTAAGAGAGGCAAAACAATCTTGTGCCCCTTACTTAAAGCAGCTGAGCTCTGCTGCTTTAAGTAAAGTCAACTGGACAACATATCATGGTTTGGCAGACTGCACGTGATATTTCGGATATGTGTTTTTGTTCCAGTTCAGACCTGCAAAGCCCACATACAGTATCTAGTCTCAAGAACCGAGCCTCCATTATGAATGTACACTGTCTTGGTCCACAAGTCCGTAATTTCCCCTTGAATCTCAAAAGACTGGGGTTGGTCTAACTCAGGGGTGGGCAATCTGCGGCCCGGGAGGAAAATCCACTCAACTAGAAGTGTGGTCCTGACAGGGCAAGAGCTGTTGTAAGGTCATATGATAAATGTTGCAACAAAGACAGGTGCCATTTTATTTTATATCTAGCAATAATGATAGTCAAACTATGTGGGTGGGGTGATTTTCAAAGACACAAATGGGCGTTGGTACCCAATTCTCATTGGCTTTCAATGCAATTAGAATGCCCAGCCCCTCCAGGTCCTTTGAAAATACCTGCCTATTTTCTTCAAGTGTTTTCTTTTTGCTCTTTGAGTCTAAATATTAATCCTCAGTCACAGTTTTTGACCTTTATCTCACCCATGTACCCATGTTTGCTTACCAAATTTTTTTTTTTTTTTTTAAAAGGCATTAATGGCTTTTCCAAAGTTTGAGTTAATTTTTATGGTGGGTCAATTTACTGTAACCTATTAAGAAATACCTACTGCTTAAGTCTAACTTTAGGTCCATCTTTAAATGGACATACATTTTAAAATCACTCCAATCCCCGTTACGCTAAATAAACGGTAGCAAAACTGGTAGGCTTAATAGAGGTATTGTTTGTCAAAGAAGCCAGAAGAATCATTAAAATGTCAAGTTAAGTAATATCTAATCACCATTTTCTTCTTTTTAATTGCAGGGGCAAGCACTGACAGGGGCAAAAAACACTGGAGTCAGTAATCTTCTGCTGATTCGGGGAGAAACATTTGCTCTCCACACTCTTACAATGACCAACAGGTCTAGCCTGTGGTTAGACTGGAATGTGATTTGTTAGAAATATTTGTGCAATTTATAAATCAAATGAGACAAGGGGTGGTCACCAGTAAGGACTTGATGCAAATCTATTTTTGGCAAAAGTAATTTAGGGGAATCACTAACTAAAAAGCCCTGATTTGTTATAAAAGGGAGCTTTATTTGAACCTATGGATACATTTGGAGCCCTAGATTTATTTTTCGTTCAATGCTTTGATCAATCACCAAAGTTAGAATCTACCCATTGTTATTCTGGGGTAGGAAGTTATTCTAGAAGGCAGCATTTAAAGTCTCCAGAAAGCACAGATTTCCAAACAGGTACAAAACATATTTAAGTAGAAGCAATTAGTACAGATTTTTTACTATCTCCTCACTCAAAGAAAAAAAAGAAAGGCGGGGGGGGGATAAAAATTAAGGATATGTATTTCAAGATAAAAAAGTCAAATCACATCCTCAAAAATGTCAGCATGTAAACTATATTAGAAAGTCTTTAAGGTAAGGGGAAGTAAGTATCAAAAGAAATATCTACGGT